GAGCTTAATGTTAATATGACTAAGATAAAAAAAAGTAAAGTGGAAGTCAAGCTCTAAGAAATCTAGTTCCAAGAAATTACCATCTAAGAAACGCTTTAAGAAAAAAAATAAGTCTAATAGTATAACACCTTTGGCTAAATTCACTGAACAAGTTGGTAAAGTAGATTCTGAGAAGCCAACAAATAGATCTGATAAGGCTAAACAAAGCACTCAGGAAGAAACTATTTGTAAAATTCTCTAAAGTGAACTTAAATTAATTTTTCCTGCATTGATTTCTCAAGATTCTGTTTCTAATTCCAATAAATCTAATACACCAAAACAAGTGCTCTCTATTTAAGATAAGACAGAGTTTCAGAATGATAAGGCTTCAATTACCAAAGACATTTTATTAGACCTAGAGGAGGAAGAATATTTGAAGGATCAAATGGAAATCGACTTTGTTCAAAGAAAAGAACCTGCTACAGATATTATAACAGTAAAATGTAAAATCAAACGCTTAGTAATCCCAGGTGCTGTGATTGATCCTGATGCTAACTTTCTGATCATGTCTCAGGATATCTCTAAGTGATCAAAGCTAGAAATTGATATAAAAGAAAAACATGATCTTAGAGACATTGCTACTACTTTCACAGAATCCCTTGGAATTTTTAGAAATGTTCCAGTAAATTTTACATCTGGGTGTACTATATATGCTGATTTTGCTGTAATTAAATACCATAAGTCATGCTAATCTTACCTAATATACTTTTCAATAAATATAATTATGATCTGCTTGCATCAAAGTGGGAGTTAAGATTAGAGTGTAATTGTAAGGAATTTTTTATTCCAATCAATATGCATAAGATCAAGAATAAGCTTGAGGTGAATTGCGCGAACATTACTTTTGAATGCGATATTTCCTCAACTTCAGATAAAATTTCGCATGACTTGCAGGACTTAAGTAAAGATGATAATGTATTAAAAAAAAGTGAGTTACAAGGAGCTTGAAAAAATACTATAAACCACTCTCAAGTATAATGCAGAAATCAATGAGTATTGTGAAAGCCTACAGACATGCTATGATAAACTTCTTAGGAAATAGGTGAGTTTTCTTCTAATAAATTCTTCATTTTTACTATATTTTTTATGCTTCTTTCAGATATCTTCTCATGCGATACATATGGGAGCGTTTCCAGTAAAATCACATTACGGATCATATGATTTACTATGCCTCATAACTTGATTTTACT